TGCCCTGCCTGTTCACTGTCTGCAGTTCAGCTCTGGGTACCTCCTCCTGGAAGCCTCCCCTGACTGACTCAACTTGGCTGCTCCACCTGGTCCTCATGGTAACTGAAGCTCATGTACCGCAACGCTGACATCACGTGACTCTGTCTGTCTCCCAACATAGGCTGTTTGCTCCATGGTGAAGCCTTGTGTTTTTGGCTTTGAGGTATTACCATGGTGTCTGTGTGTTCCATAGATATTTGTTAAGTGAATCGCTTCATTTTCCTAAGACTGAATTGCGCCTGGCCATCCCCTGCATGTATGCATTCTCCTCCTCTGCCCCTTCCTTCCCTGAAGGAGAGAGCCTGCCCCATCCCTTATGGGCTGCTCTACCCAACATGCCTCTGAGTGTCAGGAGCCTCATGTCCCTCCTCCACTAATCATTTTGTGACCAGCAGCCCCTATTTTTCTGCTCTGTGTGTAAAGAGAAGGATGGGAAGTGGACTACTTAGCTCCGAGGTCTCTTACAGCAAGGAGAGTCTGTGACTCTGCCACACGTGTCCATACTTGTGTGTGCACTTTGGGCCCATGAGGGCGAGGAGGTGGCCCTCAGGAGGCAGTAACACAGACCCTACAGGCCCCAGGTGGGGGGGATATGCCTGCCCCATGCAGTAAGAGGGTACTCAGAGTCACCTGCTTTCTGGAAAGGAGGGAGGAGCCGAGCCTGCCTGGAAACCTGAGGGACACCAGGACTCCTTGTTCCTTCTCTCTAATGCAACGCGCATTCCCCACTTAAAGGTAATTTCTTCACTTCAAAAGGATTCCAGCTGGTTAAATTCAAGGTGAAGAATAAGCCTCAGTCAAGAAGCTTCTCAGGGGCCTTTCAGTTTACATCATCTTGAGAAGGGATGCATTTTAAGACGCTTGCCTCTTAATGTTTGTCAAAGCACCAGGGGAGAAAGCTTCCTCTTATTTCAACACCTCTCTTAGCTCTTGGGGTTATCGGCACAGAGACCATCCTTATTTCCCTGCACTACTTTGCCTTTTGGGGAACCCACTGGATTTCTCTCCTGGCTTTCTTCTTCCCAACCCCTAGCCCACACCTACCCTGGGCGGAGGAGAGACTAGTATTGGCTTCAGCAGTTTTTCTTCAGGCTGCCCCAGACACCCAGCAGCTTACAAGGCAATCCATGGGTCTCACATAACTTATAGCTCAGGTGTGTATCCCAGCAGTCATTCATTCATTCATTCCCTCACTCACCTAGTCAGTCAACATGGGGTCTGCAATGCTGGTAGGGGGTGTGGGTGGTCTTGCTTTCCTAGAGCTTATAAACTGGTCAAGGCTATGGGAGATATGAACAAGCAATACAATACAAGACAGAAGGAAGTAAACGCTAGGTCTTGTGGGTAGGGGGCATTTAAAAAGCTCAAAGAGAGGTGCCTGGATGGCTCAGTCGGTTAAGCGTCTGACTTCAGCTCAAGTCATGATCTCACGGTCTGTGAGTTCAAGTCCGCATCGGGCTCTGTGCTGACAGCTCAGAGCCTGGAGCCTGCTCTGGATTCTGTGTCTCCCCTTCCCTCTGCCCCTTCCCTCCGCCGCTCATACTCTTTCTCTCAAAAATAAATAAACATTAAGAAGTTTTCTAAAAGCTCACAGAAAGAAGAGACCAGCCAGGGATGAGGATAAGGCCAAGAGGGAGATAGTCAGGGAAGGCTTCTTAGAAGGAGTAGCATTTTGGTCCGGGCAGGGTGTCCGAGAGTGCAGGGTCCAAATAAGGGGAGTGGCCTGAGCAGAGGTGTGTGGGCAGGAAGACCCCTGGTAGGCACAGAGGCACTGTCCCAGGCCCACAGCACCTCTCCTTCCAGGGCCTCGGGGTTTGCTTGGTGATGGTGGGGCCTCCCACGACATGTCCACTGGTGGCTGCTGCTTTAGTGGCATCGCTTTAATCACTTTGAAGCAAGGCGCTATGCCCACATAGCCAGTCACAACCTGCTTGCCCTTTCTCATTAGACCTCGGGCCCAGAGGAAATGCCTTCAATCCCCTGCTTTGTCACTAAGGACTCGGGCTCCCCTGCCCACACTCTTGAGAGACCCAGAGAGCATCTGCTTCCTCTCCAACTGTTCCAGGTTCTCTCTCTCTCTAATGGTGTTTGTTTCCTCTACCCCTTAAGGGAAGCTCTAGCCATCATCTCATTTCTTATTATCCCTGGCCTGTCTCCACCTCTTCACCACCACCCTCCTTAGCAAACACTGCTTTCTGTCCCAAGAAAGCTTCCATTCAGCAAGCCTCCCCGCCTGCCCAAGACTTTGTCAGCGCCGTGGTGTCTCCGCTGAGAGCCTTACCAGTGGCCTAGTGGTCAGGCGTTTGGAATTGGGCACATCTGGGTTTAAACCCTGGCTTTTCCAGCTCTCCACTTGCTTAATTCCTTTCATAGGAACTTCTCTTGTTTTTCTGACCCAATATGTTTTCCCTCTTCTGACAACTAGCATCTTGATTCTCCTTTGGGGGAACCATCCTCTTTTGCCCTCAGCTTTTGTAGATTTAATTGGGTTACCCAAGGTCATTGGTTCAGGGATAGGCATGTGATCCAAGCAGGACAAATCCTGGGATTCTTAATGGTTGAAAAGTGCCAGTCTATTTTCACTGGGATTGATGAACTAGTAAAACAAATCTGAAGCTGATGGGGTTGTCTTTGCCATCACAAGGAGCATCTATTTACACATAAAACCAGCATAGAAAAAAGTAGAGAAAAGGGAAAAATAGATTTCTGGTGACATAGTTTGGACACCTGGATCCAGCCATGCCTGAAGCTAATCTTAGAGTTTTCAGTTTGTGAACCAATGGTTTCCTCCCCTCTTTTGGCATAAGCCAGTTAGATTGGCTTTTGTCACTCACCACTAACAGTCTCAACTAAAGAAATACTTCACTTGCAGATTTGATGAAAGGTTTAAATGAAATGACACACAAATAGTACCCAGCCGAAAGTGGGTACCACTTGATTAATGGTATTTTTTGATAACCCTGAATCGCCTTATCAAATGTCAGTTAAATTTTTAAAAACCCTTTAATTCTATAGTGGTAGAATATTACTTTTCCTTCCTTTCTTTCTACCCTTTTGACCAATTTTTTCTTTGTGAAATCTCTACTGTCCTTGGCTTTCTTAACGATAGTCCTGTCCTTCATAAGTCTCCAGGTTTTCTCTCCTGCCCCACCTCTGGGCTGAGACAGGGTGGGAAATTTCATGATCTGAAGGGAGTGATGTCTTCTCTGCATTATATGCCCACACTCCAGGACAATCCCTATCAACTAAACAGAATCAAATGCAGATTTCCCAAACTTGCTTCAAACCAAGTACACCAGGTACTCAGAAAAGTCTTCACTGCCATCTAGTGGACATCTGCTATAACATCACGCGGAATGGAGTCCTTTACTGAGAATCTCTCCTGGGACAGTCACAGGGCTGAGAAAGTATGTGGTTCGATCTCATCACTTTCCAGTGGCAAAGCTAAGGACAAGTGAATTAATGGCGAAGTCAAGCATCTAGTCCCCACCGAGCATCATTATACTCTTCCCTACAGGACTGGGCTCCTGCCTTGCAGCCCTCCATCTCCTGTTCCGAGTGTTAGAACCACAGTGGCTTATGTCTCCTCTGCTTCTCCGACAGGTCCACTGGTGCGCCCCAGGCCAGAGGTCTCCAAGGGAGGAGGGCTGACATGTGCATGTGTGCACATGCTTATGCATGCATGTTCGTGCGTGTGAGGCTTGGCAGGGTTGAGAGAGCGGAGACTCAGAAGGCCTCCGCATTCCTTGCGTGCTTAGCCTCCCGGAAGAGAGGATATTTGTCATGGCTGCAAACACAATAGCCTGTCAAAGCTTCGTGTTCTCAGTCTCATAAAGTGTGAGACACATCACAATCTACTGGTTCCCTGATAGTGAAAACAGTTCAAGGAAGAGAGAAACATGCCCCCTCTACATCTGAATAAACTTGCGGATTCCCTCACCCCAGGACTTTTTATTTTGCTGTGTTTGTACTCACTGCCGTCCAGCCTAGACTGACAGAGAGGAAGATCTGGCGGTGGCCTCTCTGGCCACGGTGCACAGAGGGGACCAGAAGGCTGTGCATATGGTGTGCTCGTGGTCACATCCTGACCATGGTCCTTCCATCCCCACCCATTTGTGACCTGGTTCTGGGACACATCACAGTCCTTTTATGTAGGTTGATATTGGCATCTCCTAGTAAAACACAGCAGGCAAAGCAAGACCTCCTCTCCTGACACTGGGGGCTCGGTGTAACGCACAAGTCAAGGAAGAAAGAAACGGTGATTGAAACACTGGAGCAGCTCCGCCAGGACACGGTGTGGCCACAAGGAGCGGCAGCCACAGTCCCCAGGCTTACTACATCCCCAAACGAAGGGATGCTTCCAGAGCAAGATAGTACTAACCATTTCCTAGCGGAAAGAATAGTTATTTCCAATCCCTAAAACTGCTTCAATCTTCTATTTCAGACAAGTTTAAGCAAATGTTTCAGTGTGTTTCATACCGTGACAATGGCGTCAAGGAGCATTCCTTTGCTTGGTTTGCTACGTGGGAAGCACTTCCCATTGCCATTGAGCTCCTCCCCATTCAGAAGATCGTTCTAAAAGCCCAACCACCTCACACCTTGAGACGGACTCCCTACACCCCGTCTCTCCTCCTTTTCCCTGCTGCCTTCAAAGCATACATCAGTGGCTTCCATATACACTGACGAGCCAGGCTCTGTGGCTCAGGGCTATAGGAGGAGGGAAAGACCAGGGCAGAGCTGCCCTAGAGTCCCACTAAAGCTTCTGGTCTGCAGCCCTCCAACCCACCCCACCCTCCTAAGGCCATGGGGCTGCTCTGAGGCAGGCACATCCTATGGCGTCAGCCACCTGGCACGACTAGACCCAACCCAGATGGCTTTGCTTCAAGTCACACAAATGAGCAATCTCAGAGGGAAACCAGGACCCACAGCCCTCCTCCTCCAGGCCAGGTTTGCTCACTTACCTCCAAGGCCCTAGGGAACTTGACTATGGGCTCATTCCAGTGGGTGATCTTCTGCCTGTAGTTGTTGCAGTCAGGAACAAACATGCAGCCAATGTTCCCCAGTTCTGGGTAGAAAACTTGAAGGCCCCTGTGGAGAGAAGGAGATGGTCAGCCCAGGACAGACTTCTGGTGGAGTCTGGCGGGTTCAAAGCCTCAGTCTAGCACCATTGGAAATGCAAAGTCAAGTGTGATGGAATTCTAGGCCTGCTGCTAACTAGTTGTGGTCACTAACTAGTGTGACGGGTGTGCTTGACCTCTTGGTGACTCAGTGTCTTCACCTGTAAAATGGGGACACTGATAGTACCTACTTACAGCGCTAGTGTGAGGGGTGAAGTAGGTGATCGATGTTTACAACAGAGCCAACAAGTCGTCAGTGGTCAGAGAGTGTTAACTCTCATTTGTGTTTACTTCTCAAAAAAGAGCATAGCATCCTTAGACAACCCTGGTCCGTGTCATTAAAGTAGGATTGAGTTTATTAGGACAATATTTGCACACTGCTTTTCAGGAATGTTCTATTCACATAAAGAAAGGTTTATAGCAAGTCAGCACAGCCTTCTTCACGGGCACAGACATTTGGTCAACCCTACACAATCAAGATCCTCTGCATGTCTGCACACCTCACCAGTAGTTAAATAATTCACGTCTTTGGGTCAAGCATCGCCCAGTAACCTAGGTGCTCCACCTACCATTCCCTGCACTTTCAAAATGCAAATATGTCCTAGGGGAGTAAAATATCTGGTCACTAAGATAGTAGTATGAACCCATTTATCGACTTTTTCCCTGCAAAGAAGGCCTGAATAGCACAAATGCTCTGAGAATTGGGTTCATTGAAAGGGCTGATCCCATAACTTCATCAGGGTTCACCTTGAGGGCTCACCTGTATCTGAACCTCAGTGATGTAAACCAGGCTATCAAATAGATATTTAAACACACTTACACACACACACACCCTTGACCTTCCTGTCTGTCCTTCTGTCACTTTATATCACCAGACCCAGGGTCTCTATATGGTGCATTTAGTTAAGAAGATTCACCCACAGAGAAGGAGTGAGCTCCTAGCCTTGCCAGAAGTCCAGCTTGGCTGAGCAGCTCCACAGTCTGCCAGCGGTCACCCAGAGCTGGCCATGATTCCCTCGCTGGGGGTAATGCCTGAAGGAGACCCAGGGAGAATATAATGGGGGAGTAGATCTAGAGGAGTAGCCCTGAGTTCTGGCCCCGGGAGAAAGGCAAGGACTGCCTCCTAGTGGAAGCCCTACACATCCCTCCCATCCCACCCTTCCAGTGGCTCCTGAGGGGTCCTGCCTTGGGCTCAGGCGGCCAGAGGCTGCAACACTGAGTGGACACAGGACGCCTCTGTGGGCCAGCAGCCCCGATGCCAGCCGCAGGCCAGTTAGCTGAACCTCCAGTTTGCTCAGCACACTTGTGTCTTTTACCTCTTGGCAAGTTTACAGTAATTCTTTTTGGATGCCATGGTTTTAGTGGCTTTTGAACAAGCTTTAGAGGGCGGGTTTTCATCTTTCTTCCCAGCAACATTCTAACGCGCCCCCCCCCCACTGCAGCTGGCGAGACCCAGGCCAGGTGGCCTGAGAGAGGGGACCCCCCCACTGGCAGAGAGATGGAGAGTCAGCACATAGCCCGGAAGTGGGGAAGGCCAAGGGGCAGGGGGGAGGGACACGGAGGAACACAGACGCCTCCCCAGGGAACGAATGGGTCTCCTCGTTTTATCCTGGTAGAATTGCTGCAAATGTTTAAACAGTTAAGCAAAATCAGCAAGCTGATGTTTGGTGAGTAGGCCTAAATGGTAGGTGCCAGGGGACCCGGGATTAGGTCCCTGCCCCCAGCCCCTGTCACACCACAGGGTGCTGCCAGCCCAGCATCTGAAAACTACATGTTGCTCCACACAGCAGGCCATGCTGGGGGAGGGGGGGATGTAAGGGTCTCTGTTCCGTGCAGCAGTTCTACCAAAGGCTTGGATCCAGACACAAAAGGCAAATTTATTCGATTTGTGAGTGGCACAAAGTTGATTAATAACAATGATCAAATTCGTCAATGATTAAAACTAACAGATGATTGGAGTACCTGGGTGGCTCAGTTGGTTAAGCGTCCAGCTCTGGCTCAGGTCATGATCTCACGGTTCGTGAGTCGGGCTCTGTGGTGACAGCTCAGAGCCTGGAGCCTGCTTCTGTGTCTCCCTGTCTCTGCCCCTCCCCTGCTTGCAGGCTCTCTCCTCTCTCTCTCTCTCTCTCTCTCTCTCAATAATAAGTAAACATTAAAAAAACTAACAGATGATCACTTCAGCCTAAAGAAAGATCCAGACAGACCTGAGATGAAATGAATCAGAAATCGAATTTAGTAAGAATACGCCTGAGAACGTGCACCCTTCTCCTGCAGCGCCCTTCCTGCTAATGGGGTACTTCACACGGGACACGTTCCGTCTCCATCCCCAGATCTGGGACATTTCCTGGTCAACTTCACAAGACCAAGAGGCACCTGAGAGGGTTGGGGGGAGGCAGGGGGCTCTGGTCCCAGCGTGGTTACTATCTCACATTGCATGGGGGCAGCAAGGGCATTATGGGCATTATTTCATTTCGTACAGCATCTCGAAGTGGCTGTTATCATTATTCTCATCTGCCAAAGGAGTAAACTGAGAAAGTTAAGGAACTAGCACGGGGTCTCATTGTTGGTGAACTGCGGGGACAGGGACGTGGGTGTGGCAGGCAGCCAGCGTGATGTCCCCAGTGATTCCCATCTCCTGCTCCTCCCACCCTAGTGGGACCCCCCCACCTTGAGTGGGGGCTGGATTTAGCGACTTGATTCTAACAGAGCAGCAGTGGTGGGATGTCACTTCCAAGATTATGTTGTAAGAAGACTCTGGCTTCTCTCACAGGCTCTGCCCCTCAGATCCTGGCTCTGCGGGAAACATCTGCTGGTTTGTGAACAGCCCCACAGAGAGGCCACATGGCAAGGGCCCGAGGCCTGTCAACACCCACACGAGCAAGCTCGGAGCAGACCACCCCGCCCCAGCCAGTCCACTCTGCAGATGAGGCCGTGGCCCCCAGTGAGCCTGAGCTGCCCAGCCGGGCCCTGCCTGGAGCAAAGGGGAAACAAGTGTCAGTGGCCGCCACATTTGGGGTGATTTGTGCAGCCTTCAGATGTCTCTGAAGGCTGGAGCTTCCAACTCAGGCCAGAGGGCTTGGGCGGGGGATGGAGTGGGGGGTTTCCCAGCTGGTGGAGTGGAAGCAGTGGGAGGGGGTTGTTGAATAGACTCACCCATAGGGTGCGGGTGAGATGACTGTAGTTCTCTCTCTGCTGAGACTGTACCTGGGCTCCAATCTCATGTTTTGTCAGGGGTTGGTAAGATGTTACTCGGGAAGAGCCTTTCCCTTAACAGTGTTTTCCTACCGCTTGTCCCTGTTCATGACATTCCTCCTTTCTAGATGAATACCTCAGGTATCAAGGCCTGACTTCAAAATTTCCCTATCAGGAGTGCCTGGGTGGCTCAGTCGGTTGAGCGTCCAACTCTTGATTTGGGCTCAGGTCATGGTCCCAGGGTCATGGGATCCAGCCCTGCATCAGGCTCAGCACTGAGCGTGGAGTCTGCTTAAGATCCTCTCTCTCCCTCTCTCTGCTCCTCCCTGACTTGCGCACGTGCTCAGGTGTTTGCTTGCTTGCTCTCTCAAAAAAAATTTTGTTTTCTCTATTAGACTCTATGTAATTATGAGAGGAGTGGCTTTTTGCGGGGAGAGGGGCGGCGGTGAGGGGATCTCTTGGTGAGATCAGAAGCCTGAGCTGAGCAGGGTTCTTGGCGAGGGGGCCCTGGCGCTGGACATCCTTACCTCTCCTCAGGGGTCTGACATGCCCGTAACGTGCTCTCAGTTAGTGATGATCTTCTACCAACAAAGATCTTCAGCGGTAATAAAGACAAACCTCCCCTTCTGCAGTGACGGTTTATAATCAGACATTCCCTAGCATACAACCTTAGTGTGGTAAGTTGGTGTTTCTTAAGCTGGGGGTCTCCTGGTGGATTCCAGGGAGTCCTGACAGTACCTCCTGCAATGCACGGAGTTGCAGGTGCCCCTCCCCCCAAATTCATATGCTGGACCCCAGCCCCTGGTGTGATGGCATCGCGAGGTGGGGCATCCAGCCACTGTGTGAAAGGACAATGGGAAGACAGCCGTCTATGAATCAGGAAGCAGGTTCTCAGCAGACGTGAAAACTGCTGATACCTTGATCTGGGACTTCTCAACCTCCAGGAGAAGAAGGAAATTTCTGCTGTTGATAAGGCACCCTGCCCTGGCATTTCGTTATAGCAGCCCAAGTGCACTGAGACAGCTCCCCTTTACTTGAGTTTGAGAAGCTCCAGGCCCTGAATGATGGTCAGCAGCCGAAGGCGGGAGGGGAAGGAGCATTGAGTGTAGAGCCAGACAAGGCAAGGGGGTGGGGGTGCTGGATCCAGGCCCTGCCACTGGCGAGGCGTGTGAGCCCTGTGGACAGTTATTTAATCTCAGGTGATTCCTCATCTGCAATATGAGGATGGTGATACATACCTGGGGGTTTGTGAGAACAGCGAAATGAGCTGGCATTTGGGCACCAGCGAACTCCTGGCTCATAATGGGTGCCCCAGAGCCCTCAGGCATGCGGTAGCGCACAGGCCCCCAGGGCACCGGTGTGTGGCTGTCTGTAGGGCAGAGCCTCGGGCAGCTGGGGCCCAGGCTGGCCGTCCCAGTGACTACACACAATCATTTTCTAAGAGTTCCGCAGTTAACGTGGGAAGCACAGCACACTCCATAATGGGCCTTATCTCGGCCTGGCCCAGCTGACCTCCCCGGCTCCCATGGGCTTGATCTTCTGCTCCACCAGAGTAAAAGGGCTGCCCGCCCCTAGGAAGGCCCTGCTCAGCAGGTACCCAGAGGACTGGAGCCCACGCGTGAGAGGCAGCCACATTCGCTCCTCCCACTCAAAACTCCACTTAGAACTGTTTGTCCAGAGTTTTAAAAAGGTACTGATAAGAGCAAAAGGTGTGTTATCTTTTGGGGGAGGGAAGGGTTTTAAAGACCTAAGTTTTTCAGAGAACACATGTATTTATCTTCCTAAAAGTTAACATTTGTAAGAATTCAAGTGTGCGCAAGAAGGCAGAGTAGGAAATGAGGGTTTTTCCCTCCTCTCTCATTTCTGATGGCTTCAGTGGGGTGCCAGCCTCCTTGGTCACCAACTGGCAGAGGGGGTTGGCCGCAGAGTGGCCTGGGCAGCCCTCAGGATGAGCCATGAGCCCGGGACAATTAAGACGGGCAGTCAGGGAGGAGAGAGCGGAGCTCTGACGCAGGCAGGAGCGGCCTCACTCCCAGTGCCTCCTTACTGAAATGCAAACAGCCCCCTCTCACACAGGGAGGGTCCGATCCCATACCCTCTGTGCACTGCCACTATGCTTTAAAATGCCACTTAGTTGGGGGGAAGGGAGCATTCCGGGCTGCGGTTGCTGGTCTTTTGGGCACCAGCAGGGAGGGTGTGGCCAGCCCCTCAGGTCTGGAGGCCCCCCGGGGTATGAAGGGGAGCTGACTGCATCTGTATATACCCTCTGGGTCTGGGAGACCACCGTCTGGAGGGCAGGAGCCTGTCTCCAGTTCTTTCCTTAACACTGGCCTCGCTCGAGGTGCTCTCCTGGGCTCAGTGATTTCCCATCCGCCTGAGGTGCTCTCCAGGGCTCAGTGATTTCCCATCCGCCCACAAAGGCCACTTGGGAGACACTACTCCCTGGTTCTGCAAACATGCCTCCCCGAGACCCCCTGCCCGCTTGCTTCCCGGGCCCCCACCCAGCCTTACTTGCAGACGACAGCATCGGTGTCAGACAGGGCCTCGTACGTACACGTGTCGCTGTCCTCGACGTTTCTGGGGACCACTATTGTGAGAGCCAGAAACAGCGCCACCACAGCCAGCTTCATTGTCCCACCCATGGGTGCCTGGAACAGAGGGACACTTAGAGCTGCGGGGCCCTCTGCAGGGGGTGCCCTTCTCACCTTGCGGCCCCCACCCCAGGGGACCCACTTGGAGGAATAGAGGCCTCTGGTAAGCAGAAGAAGATGGGCGTGCAGCGGCCTGGGCTCCCGCAGCTAATCTGCCACCCGGACACAAATACCTTGGGAGGACCTGGGCCTGCTCCAAGCCGGACTCAGTTTGTAGTCCTGGCTGAGGCCCCTCCTCCGTCAGAGCAGCGCTTTGCCGCCCTCTAGTCCCGGCTGCCAAGGCAGGGAGCAAGCTGAGAAGCAGGAGGGCTTATATAAGTCTCTCGCCCCACCCAGCTCCTCGTCCTGTCCCCCACCACTTGCTCCACGTGTGACCAGTGGGCTGTGGGCCAGCCTGCTTCTTTGGCTTTAAGGCAAACTCTGGGAAGCCGATGACCCCAGGCTGGGGGGGGGGGGAGGGTTCCGGGGTGCTTGCGAGAGCAAGCCCTTGGTTGTTTTTCCAGGAGCAGGGTTGGGCTGGGCTGCTTCTCCTGTCCACAGTTCCCATGCCACCTGCCTTGACAGCCTTGGGGCTGACAGGTGGCTGGGGGCTGGATGCAGTGACCCTGTGCATGAAGGGTCACCACACTTAGGGCCTCCCTGGCCCCGGGGCCAGCTCCAAAGGGCCAGCTGAGGACAGAAGGGCTCCTCTGACTGCACCTTGCAGTGGTGCTGAACTCAGCACTCTCCCAAAATAATAGTCTCCGGAGAAGAAGCAAGCAGGGCTGCCGGGGAAGGAAGCCGTGTGCATGGTGCCAGTGCAGGGCCGGCTGGGAGGAAGGGGGAGCCGCTTGTAGGAAGTTGTGTGTGGGACTCTGATTGGAACCAGAGAGGGCAGGGGAAGATCACAGGCAGTTCTCCCACAGCCTTTCCAGTTGCTCTACACTCCATCTTCCCTGAGATGGGGTGTGGGGGTGTGCTGAGGGATGTTCTAGCAGCCGGGAGCTGAGGACTCCCGGCTTCTGCTCTGAGCCCCGCCCAGCTGCTGGGGTGGGGGTGGGGCGCTATGCTCTAAGATGCACCATTTCTTCCTTTCAAAAACAAGTATGATGACCCGCTGCTCCTGTGCCTTGCTAAGGAAGATGGGATCATAGCTATAAAGCTTATGCCACTCGAGCTTTAGAGAAACTATTTCAGCATAGCTGGCCTTCCACTGGAATTCCTGGGTCCAGGATCCCAACTTCTAGCAAAAAGCCCTTCTTTGGGGCTATACATTAAACACATTTCTCAATAATTAAAGTCCCTGATGTATGACTACAGTTCCCCCACAGAGGACTCACTCCCAAGATCTTCCTTACTGAAGGTGTCTCCTGGTAGCCTCCTCACAAGATGGCTGTGAGAATGGAATCAAAAAAATTATGTAAGGCCCTCAGTGAGGGAACGACCCTCACCAACGGAATGCTCAGTGATGGATGCATTCCCAATCCATTTCTCTATCAGGTACCGGGTGCCTCCCATGTGTCAGGCCCTGTGTCCGCTCCATGATGTAGGGACAGCATGGTCCCTGTTCTCATGGAGCTCACAGGAGAGCCAGAGCCACAAAGACAATGCTTCCAGAATGGTCTTCGAAGGCCAAGAGAGTCTGATCTTCAAAGTGGCAGCCACCAGGGAAACCGAAACTTTTCTGAATGCCAGTACCAAAAAAGATGGCTGTCTGGCGGAGGAAGGGTCCCCGGGGTAGGGTTACTCCTGCAGAGCCTACTCGGGTCAGCAATGCTTCCTTACTCAGTGTGTGCCAAGCTTTTATCATTGAGTTCTCATGATACAATCCTTTGAAGTAGGTGCTAGTCTTATCCCATTTTACAAAGGAGGAGACTGAGGTACAGAGAGGTCAGCTAACCTGGACTGTGGTCACATGGGTTGTAAGTGGCAGACCTGGGATTTGAACCCATGCCATCTGCCCCCAGACTACTTGCTTCTTAACCATTAACCACTCTCCTCCACTGCCCCTTCTTGGAGCTTTGCTGTCGTCCCTCTTTCCCCTCAGTTGTCCCCCCTCTTTCCCTGTGTTCCTGGAACGAAGCCCAGAATCTCCCCTTCCTGCATGATCTGGCTGTTCCGGCTTCTCTAGCTGTGACTCGATTCTGCGCTGCTTGAGGTTTAACTCCAGCTCATCCCTCCAGCTCTTTCATGTCCCAGAGTCTTCCTCTGCACCACCCTCACTTCCCACCCCCTTTTGGTGGATAGTCGAAATGCCATTTCTTCAGAGAAATGTCCTGACCCCTAGCTTCCATTAGATTCCTGTTATATAGAATCATAGCTCCTCATTCCTTTCCTTGTTCTTATATGCTTGCAATGAATTCTTTTGTGGTTACTTGCTTAGAGATTTGCTTATGGCTCCCCTGCCTGTCAATCTACAAGCTTCTTGGAGGCTGTACTGAGTCTGCATCCCGCATTACCAGCACCGTGCCTGGATTGTGTAGAGGTTTAATAAATTACCATTTGAATGCCTGACAAACCTGCCACCTCTGTTCCTGATAGTCTTATTTTCACTTAATAGCTTCTAACTCAATAAACATCAGCAGGAAATAACCACTCAAGTTGGCCCCTGGCCCTGGATCCCTTTTGCTTATTTATCTAACCTTCTCTGGCTTGTTTTCTCAAAGAGATCTGACAGAGTGCAGTGGTTCTCGGCATTTTCAAATCTGATCTAACTCTTGGGGAGTAACAGGACTTCACTTCAAACATGGAGTCCAAACTCTAGGAACCACGTTCAAGCCCAGGAAGGCACTGTGTCTCTTTCCATTGCCAGCCTATTTTGGTCAACTGCATTATTTCTGGAAACTCCCATATCCAGATCCCGAGGTGGCCACCCTGGAAGCCCCCCTTTCTTCCCTTAGTCACCAGGGCTGAGACTACATCCCAACACTATCAGGTAGGCAGAGGCGGTTGGCTTCCTGAGATGCCTTGGCCCTTCCAATCCAGAGATCTGCTGGGCCAGTGCTCCTGGGACTGTTGACCCGCCTCCTATCCCTTCAGGCCTCCCGTGCCTAACATCACCCACCCCCATCACTGCCCAGATGTCACCTTCCCTCTCTATCCAGACAGACACTCATGCTTTCCCTCCCTCCTACACCTTTCCACGTATGCCCTCTGGAATCTCTGAACTCCAGTAACTGAATTCCCTCTCACTCTTTTCCTTTAATTTTCATTAAGAAATTGAGATCCTGACCCCATAAAATTCATGTCAAAATTTTAATATGTACAACTCAATGGTTTTAGTATAGAAATCACGAAAGATTGTACAATCATCACAAAGTAATGCAACCATCATCACTACCTAATTCCAGAACATCTTCATCACCCCCAAAAGAAGCCCCAAAGCATAACCTATTAGCAATTAGTCCCCATTCCTTTCTCTCCCAGTCCCTGGAGTCACTAATCTACTCTCCCTACCTTTGAGGATTTGCCTATGCTGGATGTTTCACATAAATGGAATCGTACTACAGTTGACCTTTGAACAACATGGAAGTTAGGGAAGCCAATCCCTTGTGCAGTTGAAAATCTGTGTATAACTTTTGACTCCCCCCCCCCCCCACCAATTTAACTACCAAGAGTCTACTGTTGACTGGAAGCCTTGCTGATAACATAAACAATTGATTAACACATATCTTGTGTTATTTGTATTATCTCTCCTGTATTCTTACAGTAAAGTGAGCTAGGGAAAAGAAAACATTATTAAGGAAATCATAAGAAAGAGAAAATACTACTAGGCCTGTACTGTAAACAAATCACATATAGGTAGACCCATGCAGTTCAAACCCACGCTGTTCAAGGACTGCCTGTGTACATGTTCTCTTGTGACCAGCTTCTTTCACCTAGCATGTTTTCAAGGTTCATCCATGTTGTCAGGACTTCGTTACTATTTATAGCTGAATAATATTCCATTGTATGGATATGTCATATTTTATTTGCCCACTCATCAGTTGATGGACATTGGGTTATTTGGGGCTATTATGAACGATGCTATTATAAACATTTATATACATTGTTGTGTGTGTGGAAATATGCTTTCTTGAGTTATGCCCAGGAGTAGAATTGTTGGCTCATATGTCAATTCCAGGTATAATGTTTTGAGCAACTCCAAAGTGGCCATTACATTTTACCTTTCTACTAGCAAGGAAGGTTCCAATTTCTTCACATCCTCACTAGCACTCATTATTGTTTCTTTTTTATTATAATGATCTGAGTGGGCATGAAATGGTATTACATGTGGTTTTAATTTGTATTTCCCTGATGATTAATGATGTAGAACATCTTTTCATGAGTTTTTGCCTATTTATGTATCTTCCTTAGAGAAATATTCATTCAAATCCTTTGCCACTTTTCAAATGGGTTCTCTTTTTAATGTTGAGTTATACAAGTTCTTTATATATTTAGGATATTAGACACCGTGATTTATAAAAAATATATATTTAGTCTTCATCTCACTCTTTTGCACAGAGCTCCTCAAACCCTTGGAATTTCCTAAGTGATAAGAATGATAAAGATGTCTTGACATTCATAACAACCCTCTTCAACCATACCTAATTATAGGGTAATGAGGTGATGTTTGGAAAGCACCTAAAAAGATGGGGTCTGGTTGCTAATGAAATCAGCCATATGATTGGAGGTTTGGGACTTTTAATTTCCCCTCTCCACCTGCAGGGAGGGGAGGGGAGCTGAGCTGGAAGTGGAATCAATTATCAATGTATAGTGATATAGTCAATCATACCTATGTAATGAGACCTCCATTAAAAACTCAAAAGGATGGAGGTGAGGAGAGCTTCCACGTTAGTAAACACTTGGAGATTTGGGGAAAGGATAAAACTCAAGAGAGCATAGCTCTGTGTCCTTTCTTACATACCTTCACCTATGCATCTTTTCCATCTGGCTGTTTCTGAGCTACATCCGTTTGTAATAAACTAGTAATCTAGTAAGTTAAATGTTTCTCTGAGTTCTCTGAGCCACTCTAACAA